TCATGCAAATCACAATTTGTCTGGCTTGATTTGAATCTGCAAATAGCTAATTACATGAGAAGCTACCTACGCAGCATCAACCTGGAAAGAGTTAAATTCCAGCACAGGTAAGGTGATGGGTCAATTGCAAGACAAAACACCCATGTGTGCTTCTGACTCCTTGACTAGAAAAGCCTAAATCATAGCATGAAAAGGTCATCTTTTCTTTTCCCCCAAGAATTCTCTTACATGAGATTTGACCTGTTAGAATTTTAACCACATCATTAGCTGAGTTTATTAATCATAAATTAGCAGCTTTTTTTTTCCAACTCAGAAAGTGTCTTTGTGTTCCCAGCCCATGGTTTTTCCTCACCTTGACTCACTTATGTCTTGGAACTACTCAGCAATCCATGACTTCCCATGTTCTTCAATCTGCCTGTAGCACTGGCTACTTTCTCCACAGAGCTTGCACTTGTTTCTTGAGACACATAAGCATTTAAAGTCAAGTGATACTGGCAGAAAGCAAGGTTAGGTAGGAAGGACGTGAAGGATTATTCTTACTATTTATGGAATTCAATGGTGGGGTCCAGTATGCTGGGACAGCCAAGAGCCAGGTCTTAGAAATAAAAAATTTGTCAGTAGCCTGAAGTCAGGTACCCTTAGATACAGAAGATTACCTTTATGAGTGCATATTTAAGAGGAAACTATACACATACACCTAAAAGGATTATTGCTTATATGAGTGCATGCACATATATGCTGGTTACCATAATGTAGATAATTTTGTGACATAGGGCAAGATGGTAATGCATAGAGGACAGCAACTAAAATTCTAATGAGTTTTCTGTATTTGCAAACAGCTACTCTTAATAATTGCCTTATAATTTTATGGCTAAAATACCTAGCAACATATTCATGGCAAATTTTGCGACGAGGCTGCAGCTGTTCCATCAGGAAAGAAGGGAAGTGAAGAAATCCACTGTCTGTGGTAAAGCAACATCTGTTTCATCTACTCTGAATAGAAATTAATAGATTATTTACTGTGCAAGTCTGATTTCCCCCCTTGTTAATGTTATCTGAAATCAAGCAATAAAGCCGCTTCCTTTGTACAGGGTCTTGGTACACATATGACTGATCTAACACAGTAAATAAAGCACAGAGATCAAATATCAGCAAACCAAGATTGCAAGGAAGTTTGTTGTCACGCAAGGGTTTGGGACTAAATGGAATCTGAGAATTCACACAAAACCCTCTTTTACAGGAACTAAAATCTGGTACAGATTACCTCCGACTGGATATGTGCCAAGATTATCAGCATCTCAGAGAAATAGACCTTTTCCAGGCTACAAAATATCATGAAAAGAGTAATCTCACCGTTACTATCAATTGCAAGCTTTGCAGGTCTTGTTCAGGCATTAATTTAATAACTTTCATGCCTTAATTCACTCTTAAAGCTTTGGATCCACAGCTCCCCTCTCAGTTGTATTTTTGCAGCCAGAGCCTTACACAGCTTTGGGGCAGGAAAGACGACTTTTGTGATCCAGTAGCTCTTTACACAGGCCACCAACCACACTTGGGGGGCCTAAAAAGTAAACTCCTAAATCCATATTTCGGAATAAGCATGCAACACCTTTCTTTCTGTGTCGACAAATTTCTGAGCCTTAGCTGCCCATTAAATCTGGTTGCTAGAAGCTTTGGCTGTGTAAGACAGTTTCCAGCAGCGCTAACTGTTCCCCTTGGGGTCAGTGACCAAAGTCCTCCTCGGTTTAACAGGAACATGGGTATTTCCACAACGTACATATAGCAGAAGCTGCTTACCTTACGCTGTCTGCAATACCCAGCCAGGGCTGTGTATAGCAGAATGGGGCCCTGCCTATTTATCGCATGCTGCATTGCAGGCAGAGCAGTTTGGACTTGCGGGGTTTCATTTAATTTATTGCCAGTTAACCCAAACTTTTGATCACCGAATCAGGTAATAAGAAAAAAGAAAACAAGCAGTTGAACAGTTGGAAAAACACCTTTCCTCTCCCTTCCCTAGGCTCTACTTGAGCCAAACACCTCTCCTCCCCCTTTCTTAGTCTCAGTTCCCCGTGCTTTCGCTGCGGGCTACACCGCTTCCCTTCCGATGCCTTCGGGGAGGTGACGGGTGGTGCAGGAGACTGGGCTCCTGCGCATAACAGTCTTTCTGCTGCTCCTTGCTTCTTACTCATTTTCCTCTGCTCCAGCATGCGTCAGCCCCCGTCCCCTGGGGGTGTCCCTGCTTTGGCACAGGGTAGCACCTTCCAAGAGCGTGTCGCCAGCCGTGTTCCCAGCAGCGTGCCCTGCCACACATCTCCCCGGCGTGTCACCAGCCCCTTGTGGCTGCTGCACTTCCTTACATCTGCCCGCACCGGGGCGCCACGCACTCCCTGCTGGGCCGCGGTGCTGGCGGACGACGAGCTGCTTGCACAGCATCAGAGCAGGTTGGAGCACGGCCTCCCTGGAAAACCTTAGCTTCGTGTATTTTAACTACCTCCTCTAACAGCTAACAGGTGGACAGATGCATCAAAGGAAAGTACCAGAAAGCCTGTGCTCCCCTCCCGTTCCTGGGCTCACCTAGCTCTGCCACAGGCACACCTCTGGCGGCTCGTTCGCTTGTGACCGTTGGGAATTCTCCAGAGACGAGAGAGAAGGATTGCCTACTAAAAAAGGAAGGTTTTATTAGACCAGTTAGTTCTTTAAATAGATGAAATTCTATTTGTGCACAGGGGTAAGAGTGAGAGCATAGGAACGAGAAGAGTTTACGAATAAAAAGAATTTAGAAACCGCTCTCCCCGAGCTCACTGAAACCTTGCAGGCATGTCCTGACCTCTAGGCACAGCTTCAGCCAACTCACCAACTTGCTGCAGTTCAGGAAGCTGGTGCACAGAAAGCTTCCTTTGCATCACTTCGGAAAGCTGGCTGGCTGGCTGCTCCTCGGGCAAACTCTCTCCACCGCAGCAGCCCGTTCTCCTCTCGCACCGTACCCTGCAGAAGCTCTGCCGGCTTCTCTCCCTCAGCCAACATCATCTCTTCCCAGAGAGGACAACTCCTCTCACCCCCTTCCAGAGAGGGGCACATAATGCAGTGTTTCTCTTTGAACGTAACACACAAACTGAGCGCAAATGGAAAAATCAGAGCCTATCAACCTTTTCTTCATCATTTTTCATCTTTTTGATTCATTCAAGGGATATGCTTCATACTCGGACCAGTCCTAGAAAGAAGGAAGCGAAGCAGGACTTTTCAGCCACGCAGTAGTCTATGCTGCTTTCAAGAACATGTGATATTTCAGCTGAAAAAAAGATTATTATTTTCTATGAATTGTGACCATTTATTTCTGGTGCTGGTTATAGAGCTCGGAAAGATAGGGGCGGCATTTATTAAAAACAACAAAAAACCCACAACCTCCCCCCTACCACCACTCTAAATCACTCTCCAGGTCGATGAAATCAAGTAGTTTAATCGTCCTACAACAGTCCCTAAATAACAGACTTAGCACTTGGACTATCCTCCTGTCACTTAAGATAATGGCTAAAAGAAGCTTCTTGTTCACTCCAAAGCCATCTGTTCAGTAAGGCAACCTCATGACACCATTAATAGTTGCCTGTTGAGACTATGTTCTTATGTGACCCTTGACCTGTAGTTGTAGCACACTTGGCAAATCTATACAGATGACCTCAGAGACCAAAATTGCTAACCTGAGGCAGGAAGTGTATCTTACCATTTTACTTCAGTTTTGACATTTATATTCAGATAGACTCCATTACACATCTTGTGCATTCTTGCACTGCGTCATGCAGCTTATTAACATCAGTTACAGGGGAAAAAAATCCAGCGTGCTTAAACAAAAGTTTTAAGGAGTAGTTCTTCGTATTCCTTGTATAGCTCTGAAATAGTTAACACTATAATAAAGGCCTTTCACGTTCTTCTATGATTTAAAGAGATCTTGAAAGGTGTTTACTGTAATATAAGGTGTTAACTGTAATATAGCCTTAAGTGGCACAGTAGCATTTGTTTCCTCATCCCACGTTACTTTCCACGATGAACAGCCCTTTGTCTGGCAAGGAAGTCTAATTCAGAATTTGCCTCCTTCCAGACTTTTTAATGGGCAAAAAGACACTGTTTCACAGCTTGTTAAAACTGCAGCTTTTTTCATTTAAACCTAACCAGATACTCTCCTCAAAAGGTCATGTACCTCTTTTACAAGCACAACAAAAGGAAAAAGTTAATACATGGTAAAGACGGCAACTGAAAAAAAAGGATGCTATGTATCATTGCAAGGGCAATCCAGCAGCATCTCAAGGACAGTTGTCATTGCTACGGTTTCTACTGTCATTTCACAAGTGTTTTTTTTTATTCTCACCTCTAAGACATTGCATGGGTCAACACTAAATAAGCCCAAGTCCATACTGGAAGGCAGGGGTCCAGGTTAAAGACCAAAGTCAGTAGGAATCTTTTAGTGCTTACTTGCATAGAATTTCTATCATTAAAGTTGGAGGAACTAAAGAAAAGAATAATAATCTATGACAAAGAATACTACAAATACTGTTTTAACTTCCATAAGGAACAAAAAACAAGCATCAGTGAACTTAAAGGGAAGACCTCTACCAAAACAGGAGGTTGGGGGGGGGGAGGGGGAACTTAAAAAAATAAAAGAGAGGAGAAAGGGAGATGGAATAGATGTGCAGTAGGTGTGATGTTACCAAAGCTATGGGGGCTTATACCACTAAGAACATTCCCACAAAATTTTCACACTACACTGGAGTTCCCAAAGTGCTGCGATTTAGTGGTTTGGGGTTTTTTTGAATGTTTTTTCATTTTTTTTTTTAAATGTATCTGTTTAGAAAAGGATTTTACAAGTGTCGTTACATTACCTCCTTCTACAGCAGGCAGCTCTCACTAGGGTTCAACAGTGGCTTTAATAACAAAATTGAAAAGAAAACAGGCAATAAGAATTAGGAAAAGTGCAGCAAATATGACAGAGGGTAGGGACACATCATAAATGCTCTTTTATTTAATTCATCAAAACATTTCAGGTTTCACTGCAAGATGTGAATCAGAGCAGCAATACAGTCATGTGTCTACTGTAACATTTCCATAGGTGTTAGCATGACAGACCTCATGCATAGGACTAATGCTTAAGAGTGTTCAAGTCGCATGAAAACTGAACCATAACCATTAGAGCAGGAGTGACAAATTACTTTGTTATCTTCTCATGACTCAGCTTTGAGCACCACACAAGGAAACAGATTTCTTGAGGAAAGAATAAGTGACCTTGTATTACTGTACTAATGTATCAAGAATTCATAATTACAGAATGCCACTGTAATGACAGAACTATTACAGTAGGTTTGATTTGGTCTCATGGGTCACGGAGATAAATATTTGATGAGGTTTGTTTACTAGTATATTTGGTAAATATCTAGCCATGAGAGATTTTTGCAGTTGTTATAGATTTTGTACAGAAATAGCATTAAGTACCTAAAGTTTTAGAAAATAAATATTTCAACAAATATAAGATCTGGTTAAGACATCTAGTAATGAGGGAGGCATATAACAAAATGCAGTTAAAATAAGTACATTTCAAGTGCAAAAGAAAATACCATTATTTCTAAAGAGCTCAAACCTCCTTCCTTGAAACCTTCTCTCACTCTCTGATAAAGCTAAAATATCAATCATTAAATAGGCAATCCCACTGTTTAGCTGATAGGGAAGATTCATCTGTTGCACTGAAAGTACAAAGCTCAGAAGAATACATAATATTTTATTTTTAAACTTATTTACAAAAAGATATTGCACCAATCCATTGTCATTTTTTCAGTTTAACATGTTAAAGAAAAGCCTATTTACAAAGTTAAAAACAGAAGTGCAAAAGCAGACTGAAAGAAACCAGAAAAAGTTTATTTAAGTTCCTAAGTACAGTTTGTTACCTGACTTTAGCCCACGTCCAGTATGACCTAAAATAGTTTGTACCATATATATACCTGTAACTTTGGAAATCATTGCATTTCTCTGTAGGTACAACTCTTTTTTTTAATTTTTTTATTTTAATTTTTTTATTTTTACACTAACCATCAGAAGGTTTATGCAAAATGTAAAGGCTAAATTTAGCTTAACAACCATATTTCTCCAGGAAAATGATACAGTGTTAGGCAAATCGAAAAAGCTACATAGTATTATACTTATATTAAAAAGTAGTGATAAATCAGGCATGATGGTTTTCATTCTTCCTAAACAAGATGAAAGGTTTGCTGATATTTCAGGACTGATCATTTTAAGTACTCTGCCAGCCAGCGTACTTTCATGAACACAGCATATGGTCTTGTCTCAGTCTATCTGCCACTGGGACCATCATGATGCATTTCTGGTGAGTAGGTAAGTAGAACAATCATGACCCAGAGATGAAGCAATGCCTGGGAAAGGAAAATAATTACTTTATCAGCACTGATCATCATCAGTTAAAGTAGCAGTAAATATGTCAGTGCAATCGAAAAAAGCTAGTCTTGTAGAAATATTTCATTAAGTTTTTTTTAATTTTATTTAGTTACTCCTAAAAAGTAATTCTGATTTGCAAAATGAAGTACTGAGCCACATTCTGAAAAAGCCACCTACAGAACCAAAGTTTTTACGTAAACGGGAAAAAAAAAAATGGAGCCGCTTTCCTACAGATTTGTGTTCTCTGCCCTCTCTTTCCTTCCATCCCTGACTAACTCCAGGTGCTCTCTCTGACATCCAGTCTAGCCTACAGACAGCAGATTAGGTGATCTGTCTAGAGTAACAGGTAAGCTGCTGCTCCTGTGCTGACTGGCTGATACTAGACAGTGTAAAACAGCCAAGCTGTGCTTGCCTTCTCCTCAGCAGGGGTACTAATTTAAGTCTCTATTCTCTACTGAGACATTTCCATGAACTTTCTAGGAATGACAATTTTCATTCAAATTTGGCTGAAATGATCTAATCAGAATAGAAGTTGCTGGGGATATAGCAAAGGAGATAACTGACAGAATATATAAGCCACATTTCCTTAAAAAAAACAGGCTAGTGATAGTCATAGTCGTTAGTGATTAGTCAATAGTCATAGCTAAGTTTCCAGCTATCCGTGACTTTCTTTGTTGAATAATAAAATCTACCATTGACTGCCCAATATAGGGCTCCTATGCAATAACTATTGATTTTCAGTTTGAATAGTAGCTTAGGCAGTAAAAATCTTTAGAGTTTTGGTACAAAGCATTTTATTCACATAGTGAGAAATCTAAGTCATGAATAGGAAGAAAGAGAAGATAGGATTTATAAACAGCCCTGTTCCTTCCAGTACTTAACAAGGTGGAAAAAGCAATTGCAGGGGAAAATTGTAGTTTCCTTTATTTATGTGTGCCTGCCAGCTTTATATCCTGAAATAGGGGCAGCTGTTCTCAGAGATTCTACTTAGAAGAACTATTATGCCTTCTCAAGCAACATGTTTTCTTTCATTTCAAGGACTCAACTAATCAAGTATTCTCAAGCAGGGTAAACTGCACACCTACCTTCCTGCAGATCACTTCAACTGACAGATATCTGCCCTCCAGTGGAAAAGGGAGGAAATTCAAGAAGTCTGACAATCTCACCTAACATGGATGAGCAACTTTCTACTACTTGGTAGTAGTAGAAAGATCTAGCAAGAAAAGATTTGCTTGGTACTTTTTCAGCCATCAGAAAAGCGCAACTATTAATCCCTGAACAAATGTGAAGAGCCCAATATTAAAAAAGGTATTACAAAAGTCAATTTCCTAAATTCAGCGGACATAGATCATAGTCAGTGTCATTTTGTATTTTAATCCTCACTCTACTTTCGCAGTCTTTTAAAAGGTAGTTGCATAGATGCCTTTAAGACTTCCAAACTAAGAATTCAGGGGCAAACTTAAACAACTTCGCCAAGCAACTTGATTCTAAAATACTGTTATAAGCACTATTTAGTCTACTTCAAAAAATACACTAAGCTATTAAAAGTTAATTATATAGCCTTTTACTTTTAAATATCAAATGCCTTTCAGTTTATCATTTATCGGATAAAACTGCTATAGAAATCTCACATTATCTTCTTACTATAAAGAAAGCTTACTCACCATATAAATGATTACAAAGACTCTTGCTATGGGATATCGCCTTAGGAAGATTCCCAGACGAATGCTACACAAGCATAAAAGAAAAATTAAACGCATAAGTTAACGCTGGGTAATAATGCCTGTTCCTTTCATTCTAATCACCACAAACTTATAAATATCAGCTAATGTTATAGACAGGACTTTCTGTATTTCTGACTTTAATTTTACTTCTTGTATTCAAGGCATTCAAAAGAGTAAGAAAATTCAGAATTCGACCATTAAACATACTCTCCTAATGCTTTTCTGCTCATGTGCTAGGGTCAGGCTTTGTGAAAAAGAGCTAAAACTCTCAAAGAACTGTACAGGCATTTTAAAACTCAAAGGAAAAAAATCCCAACTCTATATTTGTCAAATCTTATGACTCCAAAAACTGTCATGAATACTGATTTTTAAAGATATTTAATGAATTAAAACCTTAGATTCCTTTAAAAAGGAAATAGATCACTGCTGTTCTTGCATTTCATTAGATTACAGCAATTTCCAATTCTACTGCAACAGCACTACAAAGTATACTGTATTAGATGTGTGCACTGTTGTTCAATAATATTAATTATTAAAAAGCATGGTCATACAAAAGTGATTATGATACTGCCAAATGAAGTTTAGTACTAAAGCATCACATACATTAGGCCCCTAGTCATGGAAATACTGATATCACTCACAATGAACTTAAAGTACCATGGAAACACAAAGGATATTTTGTCAAGATATCCTGCTCTCCAAGAAAGAAAAAAATAATACTTAATTTTGTTTCCTACTGGTATTTGATACAACCCTTGGAAAAGATTTTTCATTGTGAATATTGACAGTGAACTGAGAAAAGAGATTAAAACAAGTTTTTTGGTAGATTCAGATTTCCTTTTGTTTACTAATTTCTAGAACAGAGTATCTTTTCTGTAAGGTAAACAGCTGTACTTGGTCAGAACACAGCATCTTGTCTCCAACAGGATGCCTAAACAAGACTAAAAAAAGACACAGGATACACCCCAAGCATAGATGATACTGCCCCAGTGATACCCTCATACAGTCTCTATCACAGACAGAGTCAAAAAATCTGAAAGCAAAAAACGTGAAACTTGATAAGGGAAAAGGTTAGCTTTTTGCATATAGTCTGATGATCCTGCTATACCAATCTACACAACACAAAAAGAGTTAACTGTTTAAACAAATTACTATAATTTGCTAAAGCCCAAGAATATTTCTATCGCAGGAAAGCACAAGTGATTTAAGTCAATGTTTAAGAATTTATATTGTATTCAATATATTGCTTCATTATTTACTTTTACCTTGATACAAGCAATTCCAAAGAGAAGCTGTACCACTTAGAAAACCGCAAAGGAGTCCAGTAACGAAGAAATGTATTCTATTAGGCCACTCTTACCTAAACTGATCTATACTACTAGCAGCTTTGCGAACTCTCCCATACACTCCTGCCATGTTAGTGTCCACATCACTAAAAAGGACAGGAACGTTCCGCATACGAGCACCTATTCAAAGAGGGAGGGGGGGAAAAAATTTCTTCAGGCTAAAATCAGCTAAGTTGTTATCCAAGTAAAACAAATTGATAGCATATAGCCTAAGGATATATAAAAATAAAATGCAGTGACTCATGCAGTTTGTAAATTTTACTGAGGGTAAAAGAATACAATGCGAGGGTAAGATTACTGACAAACATAAAACTAAGTCAAACATATCCTGAACTTACTAAATTTTTAAAACTTATTTTAATTTACCAAATGGATATATCTTGGTATGCAACTCCATTAAGTGGAAAACATAGCAGTTTTAGCTTTTTTGTCACTTCTTAAGCATATAAAATAAGAATTTTGATATTGTTGCATTTTTTCCATTTGCTTGCATTTGTCATACAGCAAAACATCTGATAGCATTCCTGATACCAATCTGTATTTCCAAGTCTTTTGACTATTTAATTCGTTAATATGTATCAACTTTATTTAAGTCAGATGCCATCCTTGCGCAACTAAAATTATATTTACTGGATTTAGCTAAAAATAAGACTCAAAAGGAAGCACATTTCAAATTTCTAGTTCTCCTGTCTTATTCCTTTAAAAGTCTCTCATTCATTAGCAAACAAACAGAAGTCTGAACTGTTACTTTATACGTCTTACTAATTGTGTTTTGTGTTAAAAGGCAGTTACCACATACACCCAATTACAAAATTTGACTGTGAAAAGTAACATCTTAAAGGCATGCATCAACTACTGAGGTTCTCCCAGTAACACAGGATGAACTCTGCACAGTATAGGTGAACGAACCTCTGCAGAACCACCATATTATCAAGCTCCTTTTCAAGAAAACAGAAAGGAGACAATTGACCTCAACCAGAATTCTGATCAACTCTCAAAAGGCAGTTTCACACTCTCGGTCACCTCCCAAATCCTTCCTATGAGAAGGCGACACTTAAACCTTATTTGTGACATTCAGCTTAAACCCACAAAGACAGTTTTATTTGCAGCTGTAACAAGTTTTGTAAATATGATGATTCTAATACTGCCACAGTACTGAGAACTCAAGACGAAACTGGCTCTATTAAATTTACTTAAAGTAACCTACACACAAAAGCAGTTTGACTATTTTTCATTATAGTACCTGCTGTTGAATAGACCACTGCCATGAACTACTTATTTTCAGGGTTTCTTTTCTCCTTATAAACTCAAAGCATTGGGAAATACAGAAGTCTGAACTGCATAAAGGACAGTTTTATATATCGTCTTTCCATATTTACCTTCAGGACCATCAATTCCTGCCATGTTAATAGAAGGTCCATTAGCACTAGTGCCTTGGATAGCCTTAAGCTGCTGCTCAAGCCGTTCCAGTTGATAGACAAGGGAGTTTTTCTCCGTGCTAAGGCTCTCTAGCATGGTCTGCTTTTGAATAAGTGTTTCTGTCAGCTGATGAAGCCGATTTTCTAACTCGGTCTGACTACTACTACTCAGAGCCTTGTTTGTGAGCTTAAAAAAAAAAAGAAAAAGAAAAAAGAAACAGAAAATTAGAACATTTTCAAAATCTGACTGACGTGACATATTACAAAATTGCTATGTTCAAAAAAAATCTATCCTCCTTCAAGATCCAAGTTAGCACATTTTAGAACTTTCATAGGATAACAGGACCAAAACCATCACCAATGAGCACAACAGAAGAAACTCAATTTCAACAGTTGCTAAAACAAGATTAACAAGATTAACAAGATTATTAAACAAAAAACTAAGTACCAAGACAGAAAACATGACTGGGATAACAAATAGAAACCGCAGGAAGGAGAGGAAACGAAGACATCACGAATCATGTCATCCAACTTGCAGAAAATATTTCAAGCAAACAGGAATCTCCAGGTCAGACATATGGGCAGGAACTAATCTATTTGCTACGAGGTTAGAAATGAGCCACCTGTAGCATCGTACACCACAATAATGCAGCTTCAAAGACAGGACAATGGAAAGACAACACAAATATTCAGATGCAATGGGCCAGGGCAGGTAGGAGGTAGCACTACCAGGAAAATCACCTGCCAATAGTTTTGGGAAATTTACATCACAATACAAACAGTTTCCAAATTCTCTGATACCATATCTGCACAGCTGATCATACTGGACTCTAGACTATTAATTTCTTTAAATATAGCCTATTTTTTTATTATGCTGTCCTAGATAACCTACATAAAACAAAACTGATGCCTCCTTGCTGCCAAAGGAGGATACGGGGGCTGCCAGTATCAGAAGGTCCCAAAACAGATTTGACTGATTCAAGGAAAACATGTCTATAAATGTGCTGAGGGGAGTAGGCAGGGACGCTCTCTCAAAAGTCCATATATACAACTGTGGATGCTGAGGGAGCGTTAGAAGAAGCAAAGAAAGTGGCCAGGCTCACAGGCTGTCTCCACTGCCACTGTCTGAGAAGGCAGACTGGGCTAGACAGATCACTAGTCTGAGTCAGTAAGACGTCTTATGTTCTTATACCTAATTAAAAGGATCTTTGCAGAAATAGCTATGACCCAGTAAAACTCCAATGACTTCTTTCGTTTTCAAAAAGAAAAACGGTGACGGAGCATCTGCCCACCAAGTCTAGTTTGGACATAGGTTGTCTTCTTTTTCCCCACGTTCAAAGACGAAAGCAGATGCAATTCTAAAATTAAGCTACTATTTACTATTTCATTGTTCCCTTCCTGCATTCTTCCCAGCTCAAAACTGTCCTTTGTATTGAAAGTACACTATAGCCCATTAGTAGAGCCTTAACATTTCTTTTTTACTTTTAAACCAAATTAATAATTCTAATTGTGAAAACTTTCATGATTCAAAGTTTATTTTCTGTACAAACACAGTACCTGATTTCTGAGCTTCTGAATTTCTTCCTCTCTGTCTTTTATTCTGCTCTGCAAAGTATTTTTAGTTCGATACAACTCTTCCTCAGTATAATGGAGTTCCTATGAAATTGATTAAAATCACAAATAAAAATTTTATAAATGTATGTATTTTGAGAGACATTCCGTTATCCAGGCTTTCATACTAGAACAGAAGACGACAATATACCACCGTCAAATATAAACTGAAATTGAACCTCAGTTAAAAGTGCCTGATTTTCAGATGTTAGGAGAGGGGGAACTAGGAGAACTGAGTACGAAGGCAGAACCTCCAAGACTACCAAACTCTTCTGTGAAGACTGACCTAATGCAAATACTAATCCCAACTAGTTTACTTATAGCCATATAATTTCATTTGAATCATGATTTATCTTCTTAATATTCTCACCCTTAACTATATTGCTATCTTAAGAGGATGTCAGTACCAGACCTTAACAATTAAGCAATACTCTTAGGGAATCTGCATCCCTAAAATAAAACTGCCAATTTAAGATATATATATTTTTTAAGTTTTTGAAAAGCTTGGTGTACCTATTTTTAATTCTGTGTATTACAGGGGTCTTCCCTTACAGTTTAGGATTAACATAATAACGGGGTGGAAGGGGAAGGAATAATAGGAATGGGCCACTGACTGCAGCAAATCTAACCATAAATCTTGTTACTCACATGATTTAGTAGCTATTTTAGCTCCTATTTAAGGATCTACCATGCTTGTTTTCAAATCATTGTACCATTTCAGCTACCAGCTGCCACAGCAATCAGACAAATCATATTTCCCCTTCAAACCATCAGATATACCAGAAATAATACCTCTACTTATTTTCAGACTCAGAAATCTTATAGCAATAGCTTTAAGAATAGACCCCAGAAAGAACAAGCTGCAATTGTATTAAGCATCAATGCACACAATTACTTTAAAAGCACATACACGTGTGTGTAATTAAAAGGAAAATTTCATTTTCTGTAGCATAACTGATAATACCTACCTCCTCCCCTTTTATTTTATTTTATTTTTTTTTTAGCTTCACCTCACTTTTTCTATATGTAGTGTTGACTTAAAATATACACCTCAAAAGGACAGAGGTAAGAAGATACAATCTACCATCTGCTTTGATATAATAAACATTAGCTCTCCATCAAGAGCAGACTTGGACTTCTGCCTTTTAATTAGTTCAAGCTGCTAGCATCTCATTAAAATGTAATATTCTGAAAGGACAGATAATCCTGTAAGATAAGTTGTTCCCAGCAGGTACAGCATACTCTTCTGCTTTCCTCATTACTAATTCTCTTTTACATGAGCTTCTTTCTTATAGAGGAAATTCTTAGAACGGTTCAAAGCATGATCTGATTTCTACTGAAGAATTAGTTTGTCTACACTAAATATGAGAGCGGGCCTTTTTACTCTTTTTAGCACAAAATTGCTGAAATCAAAAGGGAGTTTGCTTAAAAAGATGACACAACATGATGAAATTCGCCAATACCGTTTTATTTGTCTTACAGAGCAGTTTGGGAAGGGGATTTATAAGGGGTTTCAAAAAATATTTATATGAATATGGTATTACAATATAATATTAATTTAGAGCTAAATTCTATGTATTAATTGGGTAGAGGAAGTCCCATAGTAACCACTTTTGGTATTTAACTTTCTTGATACAAAAGTTACAAATATTACTGTAGCCACATTCTTTGACTATTTCTCTGCTGAATAAGGTTTAATCATGCTCAATCCCAAGCATTTCCTAGGGTCATGTTTATTTTTTTAATAAGCCAATGAGAACTCCCTTCACCAGGGATATCCAGAAGGCCTTTTCCACTGCTTATTAGTGGTTGACCTTTGTTTGAACTAACAACGTTCATTAACCTTTCAGTGAACTCTTTTCAATACTATAAGAAAAATAAGTCAAACAGTTTATAAAATATTCTCTTATTAAGCCAAATAGTTTACTATTGACAACACTACATGGAGCCTAAAAAAGACCAATCAGCTCTCAAGAATTCCTTACCTGTTTTTGCCTTTCTAGTTCAGCCTCTGCCTCCTGCTTGGCCATTTTATGTGCTGCTATTTGCTCTTGTAGATCTTGAAGTTGTTCTCTTGCTGACTCAGCTTCACTTACCTGCTGAGTCTCCATATCCTGAAATGGACAGAAACATTACCATTTCATCAACAATCAAACAATACTGCAATCTGTTACAGATAATACCAAAAAGTTACATCTGCAGTACTGCTTCCAAGGGAAAGGAAGGTCAAGATAAATTAAATAAATGACATTTGCTCATTTTTATATATATATATATATAATATTTTTATTAATATATAGTAACAGAAGTTTTAAAACTGCATTTTGTAAACAGAGAAGCCTCCAACTGACCACCTTTTCCCTCCTACTGTACACAGGCTAAAATTGTAGAAAGTAAGCTTGCATGTGAATGCTGGGCTGAGCCAGTTATAGAAGCAGATGACTTAGAGACCATAGCTGCTTCAAGGATTAGCAGCCTTTGCAGAAAAGGATAAACATGATCTATACAGAAATCACCAGACTTGTTTGGAAAAAAAAGCTTCCTTAAAGAGAAGCATATAGCAATAAGGGAAAAGAAAAGTAGTACATATAGCATCCCTCCCACCATCTTAGGCCTGGCGGATGTTGTGAGGGACAATGAAGAAACTGGGTATCTAGAAGCATTTGTCCCACCCTGAGCACCCTGAGCAAAAGTTGGCTTGCTTTAATAGCAGGTCAAATAAACATTAGAGGCAACAGCCCTAAAATACGAGAAAATAGTCCATTGTGCATGGTTAACTACATTACATCTATGCGTAACCATACCGACCTGCAGCTCTGTTCTGAGCTGTTGTATTTGCCCCATTAGCTTTTGCATTTCTTCTTTCTGAGTGTCTCGTTCATGTTTCAGTTCTTCTAGTTCCATCGTGCTTGCAGTATGGTTATCCAGACCTTCAATACCCGAGCCTTCTTTTAGGCTGTTTATCAACTTTTCTTTAGACTAAAATAATAAAGGAATATATTATTTATGGCAGTATTTAACAAGTGCTCAACTTGAATCTGTCAAAATAATTTTGTTCTAAAATCCAGAGACACAAAGGAAAAATGCTGCTTTACTTCTTTTTCCCCGACTAAGGATCATATAGAGTTTAAGATCAAAACGCTTCCTACTGATCATTTTTCTAACCTCCTATATGCCATGTGACTATTGATATTTATTGAAAGCCTGTGTTATCTGTGGAAAAGAATAGCTTTCTCTTTAAAAGTGCCTGGAACGTTAAACATGTCATGCATAAAACTTCTCTAATGTGATATGGAAAGTCAGAAGACAGATACTATCAAACACTAATGATAAAAGCTCACTCCCTTTCAACTCATCCTTTCTTCTGCCCACAATGCCAAAAAAGAACCAAATATAGCAACACCTCTTCTGGGGAAGCAGAATGCCCCTTTTCATTTACCAGAGTCAACCTCATGTTCACTGATATCTGTTCTTCTTATAGTTACCATCATGACTTCAACACTATCCTTGCATATTAGGCCAAATCAATTATTCTAAACATTGGCCTTTATCTTTAACATTGGATTTTTGTTCATAAATGTCAGCACAATTAGCCAAATTAGACTTTGGTACCTTTGACAGCTTACGTAGCATAGGACTCTGCACACAATACCGAACTGTGCCGCTGTTTATACAATGCTGATCACATACTACCTTTCAGAATATATAAAAATATTTGCTTTGGTTTACACCTAAGTACGCACTACACACTGCTTTTCAGTCTCAAGCAGAACAGACCAATCTTCTTGTCAAAAGAACACTGGATGCAGAAAAAATTGCAGGTCACAGCTGTTTATTTGCTTGCCTAAGCTCCGATAGTTGGACATGGAACACACTGACAAATACTGCACAATAAGCACAGTGATTCACTTGGATCTTTCTTTAAGTTCAAGATTGGAACTTGCATTCCAACTACTTAACTCAACCTGAAAGCTTACATTTTAGAGCTATAATATGCAGACTGGTAGGTATTCCATACAGATCATATCATGAACATATTATAAAAGACATGCCCCAAAATATATTACTGGTCACATGAAAAAATTAAAATTACACAAATTACATGAAATATAATACCTTCAAAAACTAAATGCGCACAAATTAAACTGGATTTCTTTACAGAAATACTTACTTGGAGTATGCGAGTAGCTTTCTGTTTGTAGTCTGTCAGTTCTTGTTTTGCAGTTTCTAGGTGGTTTTTAGTTATTTTGACTTGCTGCTGAAGTTCATCAGCTCGCCTCTTTTCATCTAAATATTTTCTTTCTGCCACAGTAATCCCTTCTGCCAATTTCTGACGCTCAGCTTCCATTTTACTTAGACGAGCCGCAAACTCATTCTATTAGTAATAAAAAACAATACCTTGTGTTTAGCACAATCACAACTTTAACCTAGAAAGGAAAAAAAAAAAAATTTTAAAGCAACACTACAAGACACAACACTTCAAGTCTGCCACCTCCAACTTAAAGATATGTTAGTGCTTTCTATGTGGAAAGAAATCTTGGTAGCTTACGTCAGTACTAAATAAGATAAGTAAACATATGCATTTCTTTCCCTCACCAAAAATGCGGTTCCTCCTATTTATGCATACATTTGGCAAACAAAAAGCAAGCTTTTTTTCGAAGTTTAATTAAACTTAAATATGGCAGCCTAAAGACTGCCAACAACAATTTTCCAAGATAGTATTATATATAATAAAGGCCAGACCAAGTACGGAAGGCAAAAAGATCTCTAGCAGGATCATGAACTCCACGTTTACCATAACAGCGATCACCCTGCTTAATATTAAAATTATGTATTAAAATAGTGTGTGAGGGGAAACCACATGTCATGGAAAATTAAATTGATTACTGATTTAAAAATAATTTTAACATTAAAAATAGTTCAAAAAAGCAACAAAAACTGTCAGCATTACTTCTCAAAAACTTTTAATCACAAAGTTTTCAAAATAATATATAAAAAGTAAAGTAGCCTCACAAGTATATTTAGTGCAGCAGCAGATGCATTCTACCAAGCCCTTGGTACCCTGAGCAGGAACTGAAGTCAAGGGAAGGAGAGAGCAGTTAAAAATGTCATAGATCTAATCTCAAAAACAGATTACGAAAGTCTTCCTTAGGCTTCATGTCTAACCTGCATTTGTTTGTAACTTTCTTGCTCTCGCTTCAGTGTGGAGTCTGCATCACGCAGCCTCTCTTGAAGAGTTTGCAGGGCTTGATTTTGCAAACTGCTCCCTTCACTGTGGTCTTGTATTATCCTGAAAGAGTGATACAGACATTAATTGAAAAGGAAGAAACCTAGTATGCTTTTCCAGGTAGAAACATGACTACCTGCTTTTAAGATTCGCCTTGAAAATTTACTCAACTAATTATCAGACATAGCTGGTTACAGGCAGGAGACATGGAGCTAGTGACTCATGCAGTCCCTCCCTGTCCTATATTCTCATATTCAATTGCAGATACATATTCCAGTGATGAGATTAAGTCAGAAGAGTCTTTATATTTGTGGATAAGTGAATGTATTTTTGAAGACAAACGTTTACCCTGAAACCTTCAGTTACAGGCCTATTTCACAAATATAAATACATTATACAAAAGGCATTTCAATAATCGGGTGACAATTGCCCTTATTTAATATGCATTGCCTGTTCCCACTGTCAGTTATGCTTTAATAGGCTCAGAGGAAACTTTAATGCTGGTATTCAAAATCTTGTTACAATAAATAAATCATTTTTCTTCTTAAAAAGTCCACGCTTTCTACCTCGAGATTTCAAGCCTATTATTATTTGCAATGGGTTACGAAATACCGTGATTTTTCACTCTGCAATGCTTCCAAAGCTTCTGTCCGAGTCCTTAAAAGCTGATCAGCTTCTTGCAATCGCACTTTTAGCACAGCTAGCTGGGAATCCTTGGCACCAACAGCTTCTGTGAGATCATCAACTCGAGCTTGAAGTTCTTTAACCATCCTGTCACTCTTTGAATGGTCAACACTCCATTTTTCGACCCTCTCCCGGGATTTGTTTAACTCTACAAAGTAAAAAAGTTTCTTAAGGATTTTAAAAGTAGATATTACAAGGTGTTACAAGTGGTTAGGCGGTATAGGTCACTTTCTGTAAAGAAAGAAATTAAATACAACCAAGTTCAAGTAATATTGAAACTTTAAGCGCTACCAAGGAGTAACAAATGCCAGACTCCGGCTGTCAGAGCACAGCCCGTAAAACTTTGCATGTGATCTCAAAACAGACATTTTCATTCTGTGTTACACAGCTGATAAATTTTACCTGCCCCACCCCTCACAACAACCTACTGTTGAGTAGTCCTGCGTGAGCAAACAGTTGGAAAGCTCTGCATAAAGCGTCTAGTGCAAATCAACATGACAATAAACTAAACCTGAAAAACAGTCAGTAGAAAAATATATCAGTGCTAAAAGAGTACCTGAATAATACCTGAGGCTTTTTTTTTTTCTTTTTTTTTAAAAAAATCAAGCATTACATATTAGTCTTCAATGAAAGTTAAAATTCTCTGGCTAAAACCACACAGATACTTTGAAAAAAACGCAGTCGCTCAGTTGTGGCTCTAACAGCAGCAGGTTGCTATATTTAAATGATAATTTAAAGGTTTTCATACATTCACATTTTTCACGTTGTCATTTCATTTGGCTGTGAGAAATCTAGTGAAATCAAACAAACAGTAAGTCTTGTATTTTTGCTGTTAGTTTTTTTGGTGTCAGACATCACAGCCTACAGCTTCGAAAGTAGTCAAATTTCAAGAATTTCAAGGAATTTACTCGCTTAAAAATTACCATTTTGCAGTGGCCTTTAAAAAGCATGAACAATATTTCACCTTTGCTACATTGTTTTATTAAGATCTAAATTTTGGAACAAACTGGAGTTGACTGCATCACTTTAATCAACATTTGTGCTATCTTCATGAACAAGCCTTTCAGTCTCTCCCAGCTCATTATTCTGAATATCAAGAATCATTTTACTTGCCAAGTCATACACGCAAATGTAACTAGATAGATTTTGTTCTAAATATAAGACATTAACACAGAAGTAGCATTATTTTCTATTTTACTAGCCATTTTAGTAATATGTTAAAGTTTAGTTCCCAAACTGTAGTACCTTCTTGCGTTTCTTTGCATCTCTGAATTAATGAAGCCATTTCTTGATTTAAAGATTGAACTTCATTCCGCAGCAGCTGATTCTCCAGGCGAAGATTGGACAGCTCATGAGGTTTGAAACCATCATTGGCTGAAAGGCTAGGATTAGTTACTGCACTTGGTGATGAGCCATCCACTTGTGCTCCCAATCCAGAATCTGAACTGTCTGGAGTTTCTGTACAGAAAGATGCAAGTTAGAACTAATATCTATCCATAGATAGGCTTAATATAAACAGCAAACCCATGTCCTGCATCAGTTGTTAAAAGCATTTAATGTTCTAATAAAAAAAGTCAAAAGAGGTTCTAGTGAAATGGAACACTGAGTTGCTTCTCCCAACAGACTTATACAGAATAGAACATTATACAGTTCGTACACATCATGCAGCATCTTTGTTAAACCAGCAAGACAGACATGGAAGTTATAAAATTTCTTATGACATTAATGTTAAATTTACCATTCTAAAAGGTTAATATTTCTCATGACTATGCTGCCCAGTTGGAAGATACTAATCTCGTCACTGGAAGATGAGAGAGTAATAGAAGCCATCAGATATAGACAGCAACTAATGCAATTTTTCGTAAAAGTTCATCCTGGTTTTCCATTAAGATTTAGACTTCAAGGACATAAACTGTATTAAGAAAAATCTGTTCAGGCGACTATACCTTGTCATTTTGATGTCAAACCTAAACATAGCCACACAGCTATATATGTTTTAATTACCTTTATGTTAAGAAGCCTTTTAAAGAATCACTTCAATCAAAACATCCTCTTACTGATAATTCCGCATAAAACAATAATTCCCTAGAAATATTTTTAAAAGCACTTTTACTATAAAAAAAACCCAGTGATTTAAAGCAGGAGGCTACAGCATGATTTTCTTTTCTCTAGTGAACAAAAATATAAGGTACAGATCCTCTGTCAAACTATTCAAAGCTGTCTGCCTAGAGAAACTGTAGTTCTCTAGATTATGGAAATAAAAATACAAACTCTATTTTCTAGCTTAGAACCTTTGTAAGAACAGTAAGGGAACTACTGACAGTAGTCTGAACAACAGTTCCTTGCAGGCTGGGGGAAAAGACCCTGCTCTTTCCCAGCACACACAAAGACACACAGAGAGCTTAGTGGATTACTGCTGTCCACTCTAGCAGTGTTGTTTCCAGTGTGCAGACAACAGGAAGCTTTGCACCAGTGTTAATATAAAACAACACAGCATGCAATAAGTGAACAAGGAGGTGAAGTATTCTGTTTGAATTCTGTATATCTCAGATAGGTAACTGTTGAAAATCCATTGGAACAGGCTGCAAAATTTTCAAAGAAAGAATGCAGTTTAGCTGTCACCAGGTTATTTACCTTACCTTGTGATTACTAACCCACAAGCTTTATCTTCCTTGTTACCACTGCAACAGTTCATACACCTAGTGCCCTGGGAGCTGGGACAGGCTATAATTTGGAACAATAATGTTTCAAAGTAACAGCAGTGGCAGCAAGATTCGTTCCAAACTTTTTTCAATCTCCTTTCCTATTTAAATGGTTATAAGAAGTATTATTTCCTTCCTTTTAATTCATTTACACAATTTCCAAATCATCAGACAATATCAGACACATATAATCTAATATGTGCTATAAATGGCTAACTTCTTGCTTCATGAACTTTGGTAGCCTCTTGAGTTTTCCAGACAAATGAGGATAACATCTATAGCAATGTACACAGAGTTATGCCAAGGTTTTTTGTTTATAGCTAAAAGACCATAAGCTATTTCAACAGAAGTTATACAGGACATTTAAATTACACAGGCGTACATATGAATTTTGAAACCCGCGTGCTCAAACTTTATGTTAAAATTGGGGGCTTCCTTGTTCATCAGCTCCAAGAGGCAAACTCTGCTCAAAAATCCTGAAAAGCAAATTCAATATACCACACTGAGGAAAACAACTATGCTCCTTAAGCATCAATTCCTAAGGTAGTGTATGCCATATAGCTCCGGTTTAACATATTTAACTTACTATTATTATTAAATATTATTGAAAAGTTACAGAGCCAGCAATACAAAGATATTCACATCTTTAGAAATAATCTCTTTTTACTTTTACAGCTTTTCACTGTACTTAACACAGTAAGTCAAAAACGGCACTTGCAATGCTTTACACGTTCAAAATACTGAAGAAGAATTAAATTATTCTTACTACATTACTAGCAAACAATATGAACACTTGCTTCCAATTTATAGAAGCAACAGCAAAGTGGTAGAGCATCTCCAAGGACAGAAGATAGATTGGAGAGCCAGATTCTGAGAAGACAAAATTTTGACTTCTCAGACACATTCTCCTTGGTATGAACTCGAAAATGGCCTCAGCTTTTGAATGGTGGTTTTTGTCTGGCCTGTAAGCTGTTTCTAGAGTTTGGATTTAGACTGAAGTAGTGAATTACTTTGGGTGAACGTGAGGGCCTCGTTTATCCAGCTCTCTCACACCTGTAGCTCTACAACAGCTTATCCACATCCAAGCTCCCACTCTGTAGGTCAAGCAAGCTTGACAGTTTACCCCTCTCTCACGGTGGAATAAAGAAATTATCTCACTCAGTGCATGGGTCAAGAGCCAGCACCATCTACCAGTCGGTGCAAGTCACTCATTGCCTTACGTGGAAACAGTGCAGGGTCCCTGAATGCTGGGACACATGCAGCAGCACCAGAATCCATGCTTCCGAGTGAGAATGTTATGCGTGGTGTTATAAGGTTAGGTCATAATTCAGGGAAGGCAAGGCGAGCAGCAGTTATGTGGAACAGTAAGAGAAAAAAGGATTTAGATATTAAAGCTATTCAGCGCGTAAAATTAGCATGATACCTAAGAGTGTCCC